AACTCAAAAAAAAAAAAAAAAAAAGATTTTGCTTTGTATAATGAATGCTGTTATTTGTTATCTGAAGGATCGTGATAATATATCTTTTATATTATTTGAAATTATTATACTTTCCCTTGTAGTTATATTTAATATTTTTCCCTGAATTCAACTTTGCTATTATCGTCACAAGTCTTTCTTTCTTTTTTTTTTTTTTTTTCTTGAGTTGGAGTTTCACTGACACCCAGACTGGAGTACAGTGGCACGCTCATGACTACTGCAGCCTCAACCTTCTGGGCTCAGATGACCCTTCCGCCTCAGCCTTCCAAGTAGCTGGAACTACAAGCACATGCCATTGCACCCAGCTAATTTTTTGTAGAGACAAAGTCTCTCCATGTTGCCCACATTGGTCTCAAACCCCTGGACTTAGGCAGTCCTCTCACCTCAGCCTCCCAAAGTGCTGAGATTACAGGTGTGAGCCACTGCTCCTGGCCCAAAGTCCTGCTTTCTTTTTGCTTACATTTGTCTTGTATATTTTCAGCCTTTTGAGTTCCTTTGTTTTAGATGTCTTTTTTTTTTTTAAAGCAGGATTTATTGGGAAGACAGAAAAGCTCCCACAGTGAGAGGAGAGGGTTGCCCTTTTGTTTTAGATGTCTCTTAACAATTATATAGTTTTTTGGCTTTTTTTTTTTTTTTGAGTTGGAGTCTCATTCTTGTCACCCAGGCTAGAATGCAGTGGCACCCTCACGGCCACTGCAGCCTCCACCTGCTAGGGTCAGGCGATCCTTCCACCTCAACTTTCCAAGTAGCTGGAACTACAGACATGTGCCACCACGCCCAGCTACTTTTTTTTATTTATTGTAGAGATGAGGTCTCACCATGTTGCCCAGGCTGGTCTCGAACCCGTGGGCTCAGACAGTCCTCTCGCCTCCGCTTCCCAAAGTGCTGGTGTTACGAATGTGAGCCACTGTGCCCAGCTGAGAACTTTTTTCATGGGGAAACCAAAAAGTTGTTTGGGCAAGATCAGGTAACCAGGGAAGATGTGGCATGGGGGGGTGGTCATGTGTTTTTGCAAAAACTGCTGAACACAGTGCAGTGTGGACACGTTTGCTGGTAAATCACCCTTCATGAAATGGGCAAACATGTTAAAAGAATCTCCATTAAAAAATTCATTGGGCCGGGCTCAGTGGCTCAGCCTGTGATCCTAGCACTTGGGGAGGCTGAAGTGAGAGGATTGTCTGAGCCCGGGGGTTCAAGATCAGCCTGGGCAACTTTGTGAGACCTCATCGCTACAGTAAATCACAAAAACTATCCAGGTGTGGTGTCATGTGTCTGTAGTTCCAGCTACTTGGAAGGCTGAAGCGGAAGATCACCTGAGCCCAGCAGGTTGAGGCTGGGGTGGGGTGGCGGTGAGTGTGTCACTGCACTCCATTCTAGGCGACAAAGTGAGACTCCAACTCAAAAAAAAAAAAATAGGTTGGGCACAGTGGCTCAAGCCTGTAATCCCAGCACTTTGGGAGGCCGAAATGAGGGGGTTGTCTGAGCCCACAGGTTTGAAACCATCTTGGGCAACTTGGCAAGAGCTCGTCTCTACAATAAATCAAAAATTAGCTGGGCATGGTAGCGCACGCCTGCAGTTCTGTCTACTTGGAAGGTTGAGATGGAAGGATTGCCAGAGCCCAACAGGTCAACACTGGGGTGTCGTGAGCATACCGCTGCACTCCAGCTTGGATGACAGAGTGAGACTTCAACTAAAAAAAAAATTCACCGAAGCCGAATTCAGCCTCTCACAACAATCCTAACTGTTAAACTGATGCTAGTGGGTTCCTAGAACACTTAGCTAGCCGGGGAAACCTGTACTACTAGAGGCCCACCCTCCAAAAAAATTCCATTTTGGGGGGGGTCTGCCTCAGATGCTGTTTTTAGTTCTACTGAACATCTAAATGGTAATAACAAACCTGTATTTTCCAGTTTATCAATCGTAGAAGCAAAATTAGGATACCACTTTTTTTTGGCTGAGCACCATGGCTCACATCTTTAATCCCAGCAATTTTGGAGGCCGAGGTGAGAGGACTGCCTGAGACCACAGGTAGGAGACCAGCCCGGGCAATTTGGTGAGACCTCATCTCTACAATAAATCAAGAAAAAAAATTAGCCGGGCATCGTGGCATATGTCTATAGTTCCAGCTATTTAGAAGGCTGCGGCAGAAGGATCACCTGAGCCCAACAGGTCGAGGCTGTGGTATCTGGGAGCATGCACTCCAACTTGGGCGACAGATCCCGACTCAAAACAAAAAAAAGGATACTATAAAGTCTACTATAAAGACTGATAGTTTTACACGTTGAAATCTTTAAAATTTTTAATTTAGAGTCTATTTTATAGACTCTAGTTACCACGGTTATTTAAACACAGTTTGTGTTTCATTGGGTTAAATGCTGACTACCAACCTTTTTATACCACAACTGTGCCATTAGAAAATAATATATTAAGGGGAAGGGTTGCACACCTCATTAACAAGGGTGCCTGCATAATGAACATTTGTATACCTAACCCTGAATTATACCTCACCACATCTTTAGAATAAAAAATTAAAAATATATATTGACTGAACTCAGTGGCTCAGCCTATAATCTCAGCACTTTGGGAGGCCAAGGCGAGTGGATTGCCTGAGCCCACAGGTTTGAGATCAGCCCGGGCAACTTTGTGAGACCTCATTTCTACAATAAATCAAAATATTAGCCAGGCGCGGTAACACATGCCTATAGTTCTGGCTACTTGGAAGGCTGAGGCGGAAGGATCGCTGGAACCCAGCAGGTCGACGCTGTGGTGGCTGTGAGTATGCCACTGCACTCCAGCCTGGGCAATGGAGTGAGACATCAACTCAAAAAAAAAAAAGTGTGTGTGTATGTGTGTATATATGATTTTAGTTGAGGTCTCACTTTGCCCAGGCTGGAGTGCAGTGGCACGACCCTGTCTCACTGTAGTCTTGAACTCCTGGGCTCAGGTGATCGTTCCACCTAAGCCTCCCTAATAGCTAGGGCTACAGACACACATCAACATATCTGGAAGCAATCCTCCTGCCTTGGTCTCCCAAAGTGCTGGGATTACAGGTGTGAGCCACTGCATCCAGCCAGAAAATTTGATATATTGACTTATCTTTCTGGGTCTAAATTGGATCTTCAACTGGATTTTTGTTTTCAGTAAGGGTGCATAAGTGTGGTAATTTCTAGAAACTTGCCTATTCAGAATGTCATTCTGTTGTCTTTACATGAATGACATCCTACTTAGGTAAGAAATCTCTGACCCTCTCTAAGTGTTCTTTTGTCTTCTGGTATCAGGTGTTTTTCAGAACTCTGAGACTAGCCTGGTTTTAATTTGTAAGAGACATGTTTTATCTGCTGAGATGTTTGTGGGTGTTGGTGGCTTTTACAATTTTATATTTTCACACAAGTGTTTTTGGTTTTGGTGAGTCCTTATTGATTTTGTTTTCCTTTTATACACTAAGATCTATAGGCAGAGATATTCTTTTAACTTAAGAAAATTTTATTTTATTATTATTATTATTTTTTTAGTTGTACTGCGCTCTGTCACCTGGCTGTAGAGATGAGCTCTCACCAAGTTGCCCAGGCTGATCTCGAACCCACGGGCTCAGTCAGTCCTCACCTTGACCTCCCAAAGTGCAGGGATTATAGGTGTGAGCCATGGAGCACAGCCCAGAAAAGTTTTTTGGGTTTTTTGTTTGAGTTGGAGTTTTACTTTTTCGCCCAGGCTGGAGTGCAGTAGCACACTCCCATCCACCACAGCCTTGACCTACTGGGCTCAGGTGATCCATCCACCACAGCCTTCCACGTAGCTAGAACTACAGGCATGCACCACACGCCCAGCTGATTTTTCTTGATTTATTGTAGAAATGAGGTCTCACCAAGTTGTCCAGGCTGGTCTCGAACCCCTGGGCTCAGGCAGTCCTTTTGCCTCAACCTCCCGAAGTGCTGGGATTATAGGTGTGAGCCACCATGCTGGGCCCCAGAAAAGTTTCAAAATACTATTTATTTCAGGAACTTTTTGCCTGCAGTTTTTGAAGTTTTTTCTGCTCCTGCTTTTCTGCTCTCTCATTTAAGAATATCAATTGTGTGCTGGTGTCATTTGCATTTGCTATCTGTCTAGTCATCTCCCCATCACTTTTTTCTCTTTGCATTCTCTGTGAATGTTCTCGTATCTGATTCTCTTTTTGGCCGTATAGTTTCTACTTGTTGCTTCTCCTGTGGTTTCATGTCTGTGATTTGTTCTTTTGCTGGGTTTCTTTCCTTGTGACTGCCAGCTCACCTTTCACCTTGCCATTGTCTTCTCTCTTCTTTGTTCTCTTGTTTTGTGGTGTCACAGTCCATTTTGTGCTGCTACAACAGAATATCTGAGACTGGACAATGTATAATGAACAGAAATTTATTTCTCACAGTTTTGGAGGCTGGGAAGTCGAGATCAAGGGGCCGCATCTGGCAAGAGCCTCTCACTGTGTCATCCCATGGCAGAAGGCAGAGAGCAGCCAAACAAGAGACGGGCAGACTCACCCCTTGATGATGGCGCCAGCCCCCCGTCGTGGCCTGATCGTCTCTTAGAGGTCCCGCCTCCTCATACTGTTACGGTGGCAGTTACACCTCAGCATAAGTTTCGGAGGGGACAAGCATTCACACCATACACTTGGACTTTACTGTCCCTGGGTGTCTTTGTTGGGAAGTGGCTTCTGTTTTCTGGATCAGTTCTTCAAAAGGGTACTTCTCATCTTGTGGCTGTTGTATTCTTCTTCCGGTACTATGCAGAGGTCTCATGTTGGATCCCTTTTGCTTACTCCTGATTTGACTGGGGTGGTTCTGTCTGGGCTGGCCTGTTTACCAAGAAACTGCATAGGTGGGTTTTTCACTGGCTTCTGTTTGTTTGCCTGGCACTGCTGTGCGCCATAATGTGTCCTCAGCAGTGAGTTATATTGTATCCTCAGCAGGAGTTAGAGGGTTGGCCATTGTTTAAAATCTGTTAGACTATAGCTTCTTCAAGGGAGATAGCTGGGAGCTTTTGTGTGTTTCTTATGGAAGGTGTATTAGCATACTTTTCCACTGAGTCTGATGAATTCTTTATCCTCAGGGCATGTACAGATCTATGTGGGGTTCCTTCCTGGGATCTGAACTGTTTCTCTCCCATTGTCACAGACAAACAGGTTATTCTGGCCAAAAACTGGGCCCTTGTGGAGTTCTGTGTTGCTTAGGTGTTTGCTTTGGTGGTCAGTGTTTTATCTGTTTACGTTGATTTATGGTTGCACAGCTGATGTTGCTAGTTTTGAAGAAAATGAAGATTTGTGGCAGCTTAGTCTATCCTATATGTGATGGAATGTTCCTTAATTGTCTCATAGCCTACCCACCTCCCCCATCCAGCAAAACATTGATGGCAGGGCACCAGAGAATACTTTTTTTTTTTTTTTAAGATTTAGGGGCCAAAGCAGGAGGATTGCTTAAGCCCAGGAGATCAAGACCAGCCTGGGCAACATCACAAGACCTTGTGCCTACAAAAAATTTAAAAGTTAGCAGAGCATGGTGGTGCATGCTTATAACCCCAGCTATTCGGGAGGCTGAGGTGGAAGGATCATCTGAACCCAGGAGGTCAAGGCTGCTGTGAGCCATGATTGTGCCACTGCACTCCAGCCTGGACAACAGAGTAAGACTCGAACTCAAAAAAGATTTAGGGGGTGCATGTGCAGACTTGTTACATAGGTATATTGCATGAGGGTAAGGTATGGGCTTCTATTTGCCCCGTTGCCCAAATAGTGACCATGGTAACCCATAGCGCTGGCCTTTCAACCCAGGGCCCCCTAGTGCCCTCCCCCACTTATGCCACAGCTCCTGGTATCTGTTCTCATCTTTATGTCCATGTGTACCCTTTGTTTAACTGCCACTTACAAGTAATATTTGGTGTTTAGGTTCCTGTTTCTGGGTTAATTTGCTAGGATAATGGCCTCCAGTTGCATCCATGTTGCTGCAGAAGAGAAGATTTTGTTCTTTTTATGGCTGCATAATATTCTGTGGTGTGTAGAAGCCACATTTTCTTTATCCAATGTTTTATTCCAAGAATTTTGGTTAGTTTCTGTTTTCTTAGTCTTTTTTTTTTTTTTGAGTAGTAGTGCCCAGGCTGGAGTGCAATGGTTACACTCACGGCTGGCCTCAGGTGATCCTTCTGCCTCAACCTTCCAAGTAGCTGAAACTACAGGTGTGCACCACCATGCCCAGTTAAATTTTTTTTTTTTTTTTTAATTATAGAGAGGAGGTCTCACCAGGTTGCCCAGGCTGGTCTTGAACCCCTGGACTTGCGCAATCCTCTCGCCCCCACTTCCCAAAGCGCTGGGATTACAGGATGAGCCACCACGCCTGGCTATCCAGTCCACTGTTGATGGGCACCTAGGTTGGTTCTGTGACTTTGCTATTATGAATAGTGCTGTGGTGAACATAGGGGTGCGAGTGTCTTTTTGGTAGACGGATTTATGCTTTTTTGGGTAGACTCCCAGAAGTGGGATTGCTGGATCAAATGGTAAACCTATTTTTAACTCTCTGAGAAATCTCCAAAGTGTTTTCCATAGGAGGCTGAACTAGCTTACATCCCCACCAGCAGCATATGAACTTTCCCTTTTCTTTCTTTTTTTTGGAGTCAGAGTCTCACTCTGTTACCCAGAGTGGAGTGCAGTGGCACACTCACGGCCACCGCAACCTTGACATGCTGGTGTCTGGCGATCCTTCTGCTTCAGCCTTCCAAGTAGCTGGAACTACAGGCGTGTGCCACCACACCCAGCTAATTTTTTAAAAAATTTATTATAGAGATGAGGTCTTGCCAAGTTGCCCAGGCTGGTCTCAAACCCCTGGACTGAGTCATTCCTCTTGCCTCCACTTCCCAAAGTGCTGGAACTGGGATTACAGGTGAGCCACCGCACCTGGCTATCCAGTCCACTGTTGATGGACACCTAGTTGGTTCCATGACCTTGCTGTTGTGCAGGCGTGCGCCACCACACCCAGCTAATTTTTTTGATTTACTGTAGAAATGAGGTCTCACCGTGTTGCCCAGGCTGGTCTTGAACCCTTGGGCTTAAGCAATCCTGTTGTCTCCGCCTCCCAAAGTGCTGGGAATATAGGCGTGAGCCACTGCGCCTGGCTGTGTTTTTGCTTTTTAATACTAGCCATTCTGACTGGTATCAGGTGCTCTCTTATTGTGGTTTGATTTGCATTTCTCTGTTGAATAGTGATGTTGAACATTTTTAAATGTTTGTTGGCTACTTATATGCCTTTTGAGAAGTGTCTGTGTCCTTGTTCATTTTTTAATGAGAATATTATTTTTTTTCTTGTCAGTTTGTTTAAGTTCCTTATAGATTCTGGTTATTAGTCCTTTGTCACGTGCATGGTTTGCAAATATTTTCTTTCATACTTTCTCAAATGAACCTATTCCTTGACTAATGTTTGCAGAGATGGATGGTAGCTCTAGGCATCCTCCTTCAGTTTGGTCTAAATTTTATAGTATCTGAGAGCTGTTAATTTACAGTATATTTTAGGAAGTTGTGTCCCTTCCCTAGATATTTTATTTTTCTTTCTCTCCTTTTGTGTGTGTGTGTGTGTGTGTCATTTCACTGTGCATTCACTGTTGTTGTATTTTTTTTTTTTTTTTTTTGAGTAGGAGTCTTACTCTGTCACCCAGGCTGGAGTGCAGTGGCATACCCACGGCCACCTCAGCCTCAACCTGCTATCACCTCAGCCTTTCAAGTAGCTAGAACTACAGGTGTGCACCACCATGCCTGGCTAATTTTTTCTTATTTTTTGTAGAGATGAAGTCTTGCCAAGTTGCCCAGACTAGTTTTGAACCCCTGGACTCAGCAATCCTCTCGCTTCTGCCTCCCAGAATGAGCTACCATGTCCGGCCCACTGCTGTATTCTTTTTTTTTTTTTTTTTTTTTTTTTTTAGTTGGAGACTCAGTCTGTCACCCAGGCTGGAGTCCAGTGGCACACTCACAGCCACTACAGCCTCAGCCTGCTGGGCTCAGGTGATCCTTCCACTTCAGCCTTCCAAGTAGTTGGAATCACAGGAGTGAGCCACCACATCTGGCTAATTTTTTGATTTATTGTAGAGATGAGATCTCGCCAAGTTGCCCAGGCTGGTCTTGAACCCCTGGGCTCAGGCAATCCTCTTGCCTCCGCCTCCCAAAGTGCTGGGATGACAGGCATGAGCTACCATGTCCAGCATACTGCTGCATTTTTTTTTTTTTTTTTTTTTTTTGAGTTGGAGTCTCACTATGTTGCCCAGACTGGAGGGCAGTGGCTGCTCCCAGCCACCACAGCCTCGACCTGCTGGGCTCTGGTGATCCTTCCACCTCAGCCTTCCGAGTAGCTGGAACTACAGGCGCGCACTACCACATCCGACTCATTTTTGATTTATTGTAGGGATGAGGTCTCGCCAAGTTGCCCACGCACATCTCGAACCCGCGGGCTCAGGCAATCCACTCACCTCTACTGCTGCATTCTTAATGAAGATGTATGAACTCTATATTAAATAGTGTATATAAAGCACTTAGTATAGTGCTTGGCACACAGAAAGTGTCTACCGGTGGTGGTTTTTTTACTATTTGTGTGCTTGTTTGTTGTCTTCTCCACCAGAATGTCTGTTTCACAAGGGCAGGGAACCTTGTCTGTCTGCTTAGTGTTACATTATGAGTTTCTGTAATAGTGCCTGGCATTCAGAAGGGGCTTAGGGACTACTATTGATTGAATGATCAGAAAGCTTGGGTTCCAGTTGTAGGAGTGAGGGGAGAAAGACGGGGAAACAAAACCCTGTGTCGGTACCTATAGCTTCTGCCTCCCCCTCATTTGTATCTCTTTCTGCAGGGGCAGCCACTTTGGGGGGTGCTGATGGACACCTGCGGGGTCGGCTATGTTTCCCTGGGAGAGGCCGGCCCCGTGGGGAACATGGCTGTGGAGGACTCTCCTGGACAAGAGGTGCTAAGTGCACTCGACGTCGCAGCCTCTTCGGAATTGACCAGTGCAGAGTCTTCTGTAGAGATGTCGTTGCCTCCCCCTTTGCTTGGATTTGAGGAGTCCCCCGATGAGACGAGGCTCCCTCCAGAGCAGGAAGGCCTCTCCAGACTGGAGCAGCCAGGTGAGTGTCTTGTTTTTCTGTCTTTTTACCTCTCCTGCTTAACTTGAGATGAAAGAGACAGGTTGAGCTCATAGGATTTGCAAACCTGGGGTAGGGTAATCTCTTCCAAAGAGGTTGGAGCGCTAGTCCCATCTCACAGACCATATTCTTCTCTACAGATCTTTCTTCAGAGATGTCAAAGATCTCAAAGCCTAGGGCCTCAAAGCCTGGCCGGAAGAGAGGTGGTAGGACACGGAAAGGCCCCAGAAGGCCCCAACAGCCTAATCCTCCATCAGCCCCTCTGGTTCCTGGCCTCTTAGATCAATCCAACCCTCTGTCCACCCCCGTGCCTAAGAAACGAGGTCGAAAGTCCAAGGCAGAGCTGCTCCTGCTGAAGTTGTCAAAAGACCTAGATCAGCCTGAGTCTCCATCTCCAATGAGGCCCCCTGAGGACTTTGAGACCCCTCCTGGGGAACGGCCCCGCCGAAGGGCTGCCCAAGTGTAAGGATGGTGGGGTACAACCTGGTGGAGGAGGTGGGTAAAGGGATTGGTTGGGGCAGATGTTGGGGATGAGAAGACTCTGAGGAGGCATCAGGTAAGCAGGGGACTTGAGCAGTCCTTAGCTTTTCCACAGCAGCTTCTCTGTCATGTGTTGCTGACTTTGTTTACCCAGGACTTTCTTGCCTTGCGCCCTGCCCTATCTGGTTCTCACTAACCTTCCCCGGGTCTTCACTGCTATTTTGTTGCCACTGTGTGTCGATGCATGTGCGTCTTTCCACTCTTTGCCCTTGCTTTTGACTGTGGGCAAGTGAAAAGCTCCTTGGAATTGGAGTTGGAAGACCTGGATTCTGAGTCCACATTTGCTCTCTGAATCATCTCAGCCAAGTCACTTAGTTTTCCTGGATTTCTGCTTCTTCATCTGTCAAAGGGGAAGGGGAAATTAATAGGGCTAACTGATTAATAACAGGGTTGCTGGGAGGATCCCTTGAGATAAGAGTCCGTTGAGTCTGGAAAAGTAGACCTCAGTGAAATGTCCATGAGTGTGACTCTGATTCTGCCCTGTCCCACAGGGCACTCCTGTATCTCCAGGAACTGGCGGAAGAGCTTTCCACAGCCCTGCCTGCTCCTGTGTCCTGTCCTGAGAACCCCAAGGTTAGCAGCCCCGTCAAGCCGAAGAAATGTCAGCAGCAGCCAGCCTGCCCTGGTGGCGAAGTGGAGGAGGATGCTACCCGGGATGAAGACTTTGTTCTCCAAGTCGAGGCTGAAGATGGGGAAGAGAGTGAGGCCCCGAGTGAAAGCTCGTCTGACCCTGAGCCTGCAGTGCCCCGCAGCACCCCGCGAGGATCCACTTCAGCGGTAATCTGAATGGACAGAAGTGAATGGGAGGCTAGGTGTGGTGGGTCATGCCTGTAATCCCAGCACTTTGGGAGGCTGAGGTGGGAGGATTGCTTGAGCCCAGGAGTCTGGGACCAACCTGAGCAATGCGGCAAGTCCTCGTCGCTACAAAAAAAATGAAAAAATTAGCCAAGCATGGTGACACCCACCTGTAGTCCCAGCGACTCAGGAGGCTGAGGCGGAAGGATCACCTGAGCCCAGGAGGTCGAGGCTGCCGTGAGCCCCACTACACTCCAGCCTGGGTGCCAGAGTGAGACTTCGACTTAAAAAAAAAAGGAAAAAAATGTGAATGGGGAAATAGAATGTTTTGGGGGTCAGCAAGTTGCCTAGAGGGATAACCTTGGCCTGGTAATGATGATAGGCAAAACAGGCAAAGGACAAAGGGACGATTTGAAAAACAGTTGAGATACTTGGGAGATTGGGAGACAGGGGTAGCAAACAAGATTGTCTACGCACTGAATGTCCTCTGCCCAGAAACATACGTGTGAACAAGATGGTGTGGTAAATGCTGCACCAGGAGCCAGCAGCATGCTTTAAGCACAGAGACGGAGACCAGTCAACTGCTTAGGCTTCCCCGAGGAGTGATTGTTGAGCTGGGTCTTGAAGGGTGAATAGAAGCCTGCCAGAGAGGATGGTTTTCCCCAAAATTGATTGTGGCTGGAGCATGGGGCCTGAAGCAGAGTTATAGGGAGTAAACTAGAGAGAATGGAAGAACTGAGATGGGTAGGAGCCCGCAAAGATTGTTTTTATGTGTTTGAGCGTTGTTTAATTGTGTAAAATTGACCATTTTAACCATTTTAAAATGTACAGTTCCGTGACGTTAAGTCCATCCACAATGTTATGCAACCATGACCATTATCCATTTCCAGAACTTTTTCATCAACCCTCATCAACTCAAACAGAAACAACAAAAGTTACAACGAAAGGTACAACAAAAGTTTTTAAGTAGAAAAATAACATGCTTGGTTAGGAAAATAGGTCAAATTGCAGTTGACAATTAGAAGACAGCCTCAGTTATGCAAGTGAGAGCTAGATCCTGAATCCAGCAGTGAGATGTGGGGGGCAAATTCAAGAGACATGTGAGAGAATTAACAGGACTTGGGGGTGGAACAGGCATTTCCAGCTTAGATGACGGCCTCATGCACTGAACTTGGCAACGTGGGAGAAGTGGGAGTGAGGGGTGGGGTAGGCAGGGGAAGGATGCATTCCTTTCTGCCATGTAGAGTAGGAGATGCCTGCTGGAGATGGCTGGTCAGCAATTGTGTGCGTGGGACCTAGGCCTTATATGCCCCGAGTACATGTAAGGGAGTACCAAAACCCTCAGCAATTGAGATAAATGACATTTTGTTGCAGCATTTTAAAAAAATTAAAAAAATAAAAATTAAACCTGTGGTGAACAGATTACCAAAATTTTAAATAAAGACAGGAACTTTCTAAGTTTTTAAACTGATTGCTGATTTTTCCTATTGTCTCAGTCTTTAACATGGCTCACCACCACACTGCATGTGTTTAGAACTTGTAGAAAAGTTGCGACTGAGTCAAGTTTATATTGACTGAGATATAGACTTGATAATCAGGCATAAAGATGGCTGCCAAGACAGGTGTGGTGCATGCCTGTAGTCCCAGCTACTCAGGAGGCTGAGGTGGGAGGATTGCTTGAACCCAGGAGTTTGAGGCTGTACTCCAACCTGGGCAATAGAACAAGTCCGTGACTCTTAAAAAAAAAATAGTAGTCAAAGCCATGAGACATAGGATGAGATGACCAGGAGTATGTGTTTCCAGGGTTGAGAAGAAGACAGGGGCTCTGGGGAATTCCATGGTCAGCCGGACCTGTCACGGAGGGAGGCCTGCAAAGGGATAGTGGAAAGATGGGAGGAGTAGGGGAGACTGTCCAGTAGGCCAGGAGCTTCAGAGGGCACGTGGGAGTCCCGGCCTTGGAAATGTGGAGGAAGAACAGAAAATAGATGTGGACTTTGGAGGAGTAGTGCAGAGGGTGGAGAGTCATTTCATGGTTGAAACGCAAGTCTCTGGCGCAGCAGTGGCTAGTGGAGAAGCAAGAGTAAAAGGTGGGAGAGAGCTGCTCCTGGGACTCCCCGCCTGTAGCGTGTCTTCGTTTCCTTCTGTTCGATCCTCAGAAGCAGAAGCCACACTGCCGGGGAGTGGCTCCCAACGGCTTACCCAATCACGTCATGGCTCCCGTGTGGAAGTGCCTCCACCTCACCAAGGACCTGTGAGCCTGGGGCCAGGATGAAGGGGTGGTGGAAGGGGGCAAGGGCACTCCAGAAGTGGGGCTGGGGGAGAGAGCACGGTGCATAGGCAGATGCCGGGACATTATCCTTACTAAGAGGCAAGCTCCGAAGGCAAGAGCGCTAGATGCTTAAGATGAAACAAAAAGAGAAGCTCCACTTCTCAGCCGTGCTCGCCTCTTTGCAGGTGCCCGGTCACTACTTGGAGCTAGCGGCCAACACATTGCACAGCACAGGTGACAGACCATGTCTGTCCTCACCGAAAGCTGCATTGGGCGGCACAGCTCTGGAATCCCTCTGCTCCTTCACTGATGCTTCTTCTGTTTCTGCAGCCGAGAGCAGAAGCATTCATACTGGGAGTTTGCTGAATGGATTCCTTTAGCCTGGAAGTGGCACTTGCTGTCTGAGCTGTAAGTGGAAGGAGCTTCTCTGAGGCTGTGGAAGGGGGACACCACCGAAGACGAAGGGTGGCAGAGGACTCTGGATCTGCAATGGGAACCCGGGGGTAGGTGAGGCTCTTCCACATTCAGGCTGCTCCCTTGCCTTCCCCAGGGAGGCAGCGCCCTACCTGCCCCAGGAGGAGAAATCGCCACTGTTCTCTGTCCAACGCGAAGGGCTACCTGAAGATGGCACGCTCTACCGAATAAACAGGTGACAATGGAGCCCTGGCCCGCCTCTGACCGCAGGGCCAGTAGCAGGGAGAGTGAAGCTGAGAGGGGTGACAGAGGAGCCCGCCCCTCCCCTGGAGCCGGTTGGACAGAGGAGTCCCATCCCTCCCCTGGTGCTGGTTTCTTGGGTCCCAAGGCTAGAGTCCTGGCTCGTGCTGGTCAGGCCTCCCTGATGTGTGTGCTCGCTGCTGCTGGCTAGGCTGAGGGAAGCTCACGAGGTTTAGGGTCAAATTAGTTCACAGGGTCATGTCTACTAAGACAGATTGGAACAGACCAGCCTTGGGGAAGACGCTGGTAAACCAGAATGGATGACCTGTCATTGAGTCAGGCAGACTTTGGGAAGGACAGGAAGGAGCCGCTCTCCCCTGCGGGCTACTCTCTAGGCCCAGTCCCACGCACAAGGTGGTTCCTGCGGGCGCCAGTGCAGCCCCTGCCCAGCCCTCCTGACCTTTTGTTGCCGCCTGTCTTCACCCACCTTGGGCCTTCTGTAGATTCAGCTCCATCACAGCACACCCAGAGCGCTGGGATGTGTCCTTCTTCACGGGAGGTCCGCTTTGGGCTCTGGACTGGTGCCCAGTGCCTGAGGGCGCAGGAGCCTCGCAGTATGTGGCCCTCTTCTCCAGCCCTGACATGAATGAGACACATCCCCTGAGCCAGCTTCACTCGGGCCCTGGACTGCTGCAGCTTTGGGGCCTTGGAACCTTGCAACAAGATAGCTGGTGAGGCGGGGTTGGCTCCTGTAGGGTGTGTGACGAGGAGAGCAGGGCGGGGTGGTGCGGTGGGGGATGGGTTTCCGTGGGCTGAGGTGGGGAGCTCAGCGCTGGGGTTCCCCGTCCATCCTGCCCACTGTCCCGGCGCCTCTCTACAGTCCTGGCAACAGGGCCCACTTTGTCTACGGGATCGCTTGTGACCACGGCTGCATCTGGGACCTCAAGTTCTGCCCCAGTGGAGCATGGGAACTTCCAGGCACCCCTCGGAAGGTACTTCCTAGCTGACTGTGGGCTGGCCTGGGACTCAGAGGACAGAGGCCCTGGGAGTTCTGAGTTTGGAGTGTGGTGGGTGGAGTTTTTCCAGCAGCTCCAGACTACCTCGGGCACTGGGACCACAGAGGTTTTCTGCAAGGTGCCTGAAGGTAGCAGGCCTCAGCACTGCTCTGCTCCCGCCCTCCAGGCCCCTCTCCTGCCCCGGTTGGGCCTCTTGGCTCTTGCCTGCTCAGACGGGAAGGTGCTGCTGTTCAGCCTCCCCCATCCTGAGGCCCTGCTGGCCCAGCAGCCCCCAGGTGAGTGGCCTAGCAGGGAGAATGGGCTGCTGGGGCATGGCCAGAGCATAGCAGGGCCTGTCCACCCCCGAACTTCCTGAGGCAGTCTCTAGCACAAAGGTCTGCACAGCCCCCTCCGTACACGCACCCCCACCTTGGGACTTCACACACTTGTCCTGAGCTCGCTGTCTCTTGTGCAGTCTTCCAGACTCACGGATAAGCCGTCTTCCCTCCTCCATTTGTGCCTTTCCCCCTCTTGCTGCCCAGTGGATGATTGTGTGTGAAAAACTGCCAAGGGTAGAGGCTGACGGATGGGGCCATCTGCTCTGCCGTGATCTTGTGCCCCCAGTTGTCCCCCCACTCCCTCCCCCACACATTCTCTCCCTGTTGTGAAGAAAGGGACAGAACATAGAGCTGAAGAGGAGACGAGGCAGTTGGGACATGCCAGCTTCCATATGCCGCATGTATCTGACTTTCAGTAGTACTGAGTAAAGAAGAGGGCATTTGGGTTTGAGCCCTGGGAAGTCCCATATTTGTGGGCTGGTGGAAGAGTGCATTGAGGAGGGAGTAGACGAGAAGTGGAGACAGTAGGTATAGGTGCTTCTTTCACGAAGTTTGGCTAGGAAGGGGAAAAAATAAATGGAGATGGTGGAAGGGGTGAGTGTGGCCAGTAAAGAAAGGTTTTGTTTCTCTGGATTGAAGGCAGTAGGACCTGTTGGCATGGCAACATGGGAGTGACCCAGTAGGGGGAGAGCAAGTTTGTAATGCAGGAGAAAGGAGAGATGCCTTGGAGAAAGTGACGGGGGCGAGAGGAGAGGAGAGTGGAGGGACCAGCCCTGCTGATGGGAGGAAGGATACCATTGGGAAGGAAGAGGTGCTGATGGAGGCCGGTTCATCAGTTGGTGGAGGAAAGGTGTAGGCTTTCTCAACAAAGGGCAAGGAAAAGTCATCCATGAGTGGGAGCCAATTTAATGCAAGGCCTGACTAGGAGCTCGGTCCTAGGGTCACTGCATCAAGTCCTACTCTCTTCCCTCACAGATGCAGTGAAGCCTGCCATTTATAAGGTGAGTCCTGGAGCCTCACCTGATTCTGAGCACGTCGCCTCCTGAAATGACCTCATCCTGCTGGGCTAACACTGACTTGAGCCTTCATTCCCCTGACCCTAGTCCCATCTCTTCTTTTCCTGCAGGCCCAGTGTGTGGCAACCCTGCAGGTGGGGTCTATGCAAGCCACAGAGCCCTCTGAGTGTGGTCAGTGCCTTAGCCTGGCCTGGATGCCTACCAGGCCCCATCACCACCTGGCTGCAGGATACTATAATGGTAAGAAAATAAATAAGACGTAAGGAGCTTTTTGCTCTTTAAACTTTATATTTGCTTGTTTTTTAGTGTTTTTTTGTGGGGGGAGGGGGTTCGGTGCTGGACATCATTTATAGTTATAAATATTCAAGCAATGTGAAAAAGTACAAATAGGCAAGAAATAAGTCACTAGAACTTTTAAAAAATTTTATTTTATTTTAAAGCTGTGGGATAACTTTCTACTCAGAAAAGGTATTTAAATTATGCCTTAATTTTATAGCAGAAAAAGACATGGAAGTCAAACGGAATTATTAGCTAAGCTCCTAATCAAGAACAGTCCTTCACCACAAGAGACATTAGTTCCTCCAATAATTAAAAAGAGAAAAAGACTGTAAATAACATTATGTAGCTGGCAGCTATTAGGTACTTTTCAAGTGGCAGTGTCGTTTTTTTTTGTTGGTTTTTTTTTTTTTGAGTTGGAGTCTCACTCAGACGCCCAGACTGGAGTGCAGTGGCCACTCCCGGCCACTGCAGCCTCGACCTGCTGGGCTCCGGCGATCCTTCCGCCTTAGCCTTCCAAGTAGCCGGAATTACAGGCATGCGCTACCACACCCGGCTGATTTTTTGGTTTATTGTAGAGATGAGGTCTCGCTGCCCAGGCGGGTCTTGAACCCGAGGGCTCAGGCAATCCACTCAGCTCAGCTTCCCAAAGGCGCGGGATTGCAGGCTGAGCCACCGAGCCCAGCGGCAGTGTCGTTTTTAGACGTCATACATAGACTTTCTGCAAGGAAGGTAAGGAAATTGGCACTCTAGCATTTCTTCCTAGATCATCCCTCTCTCCATCTTCTGTTTTTCTTTGGGTGGTAATACTCTCATGTTGTCAAGGTACATAATATTGATGCTGTTCTGCCATCTTAATTCCTAGAGTTATTTAATTGTCTCTGTCATTCACTTATCTGTCTCTCTTCCATTGCTAAATTTTTTATATCGTGTGGCTAAAATTCACTGTCACTAAGTTTTTTTTTCAAGAAAGGTTCATAGGTGCTATTTTTTCCTGGGCTTATGTATAACGGAGGTTTTATGTATAAATACTTTGCCTAGCTATTGTTTTACGTTTTTATATTATTCTTTGTCTTTTATTTTTATTTTTGAGTGCCTTCTCTAGTGCCATGCCTTATCAAGTGTCAGCCAGGTTTTGTAAGAGTTGAGTTCATTTCTATTTGTCCGTTTGTTTTCTGTCTCTACATTTTTGTTGCTTGTGATTTTTTGCCTATTCTCTTTGTCTTAGAGCAGAGTTAGCAAACACTTTCTGTAAAGGTCCAGATAGTAAATAATTTTAGGCTTTGTGGGCTGTTTAACTGTTGGTGGAACTGTTTAACTGACAGTGGACCAGGCATAGACATGGGATGAGTGTGACTGTGTTCTAGTAAAACTCTATTTACCAAAGTAGGTGACAGACTAGACTTGGTCCAGCCGTAGTTTGCAGCTACTAGGTGCATTCAGTGGATCATTTTTCAACTGCAGGTTCCAGGCTAAGCTATTACTTTTTGGTTGATGAGAATTGGAGCTAAAATATCAGATTGAGTCTTTAAACCATGAAGGGAGAATTAGGTAATCATGATCCCTACTTTCTTTTGTAGTAGTTGGGATCTGAGGGTAGAAGAACCTAGAACGAAATGAGAGCCAGGAGGAGAGAACTTCCCTTTAATTCCTACACATTTTGTCTCTACTTCAGGCATGGTGGTTTTCTGGAACCTTCCCACTAACTCGCCCCTGCAGCGGATACGGCTCTCTGATGGCTCCTTGAAGCTCTACCCCTTCCAATGTTTCCTAGCCCATGACCAGGCTGTGCGTACCCTTCAGTGGTGCAAAGCTAACAGGTATAGGATAGGAGCTCTGTCGGGGGTGGGGGGGCCAAGTGAGGACTGGGACCAGCTGACTCTTCCATATTTATTGATTGAATCTTCTTACGTCTGTTCTTAGTCATTTCCTTGTCTCTGCGGGGAGTGACCGGAAAATTAAATTCTGGGACCTTCGACGGCCTTACGAGCCAATAAACTCAATCAAGCGCTTCTTGAGTACAGAGCTGGCCTGGCTTCTCCCCTACAATGGTGTCACCGTGGCTCAGGACAACTGCTATGCCTCGTACGACAGGATGGAGACAGGAGGCACTCGGGGGACAGGCTGAGGGTTGGCGTGCAAAGCAGGCCAGATTGTTGTGGGCAGAGAAAGGTTGAGAGCTGGCTCACTGAGGCTGTTTGAAGGGTTTGGGGAAAGAAATGAATGGAATCTTAGAAGAATGAAGGTTTTATTTTTCTCTTTAACAGCTATGGACTCTGTGGGATTCATTATATTGACGCTGGTTACTTTGGTTTCAAGGCCTACTTCACTGCTCCTCGAAAAGGCACTGTCTGGGTGAGTCCGTCTCTTCCATAGTCTTCATTACACAGGAAAATAGCTCATTTACTCATCAACAGTGGTCAGGAAAAGGTAGTTGGATAGGAGAAGGTAGGTGTATGGTAACTGTATCATTGGGGTTATGACAAGCTCACTTGTGTGTATCTCTCAGACTGCAGTCATCACTGATTCACAGAACTGAAATGAGTGTGTGTGTGTGTGTGTGTGTGTGTGTGTGTGTGTGTGTGTGTAAGGATGAATGAATGAATGAAATCTGTCTCTTCCTGTTAGAGTCTGTCAGGATCCGACTGGCTTGGGACGGTAGCTGCAGGAGATATATCCGGGGAGCTCATTGCTGCTATATTGCCTGATATGGCACTGAATCCAATAAATGTCAAGCGACCTGTAGAGCGAAGATTTGTACGTATATGAACACTTAACGGCAGCTGTTGGAGCCCTAATCCACATGCCCTCCCATCTCCTGGTAGAGTACAAATTAGTCCTGGGTCTCCCAGCCTGACACTAACCCTGAAAGTCTTAGCACAGAGTTGTGTTATAATCTTCCCTACCCTGTTGCATCTGAGCCTGTTTAAACATACTATTTTCTTCCATCTTTAAGTCTTTCCGGCCCAACACCAGTTTCCCCTCTCTTAGCTTTTATTCTGTCTTCCATATCACAGAACCTAATCTCATGGTCTCTGTCTTAGCCTATATATAAAGCAGATCTGATACCGTATCAGGACAGTCCTGAAGGTCAAGACCACTCTTCTGCTTCATCCGGGGTCCCCAATCCTCCCAAGGCTCGAACTTACACTGAAACTGTCAACCATCACTACCTGCTCTTTCAAGACACAGATCTGGTAAGCTGAAGCCAGGAGAATGGGTGTGGCATTAGAAAAGGCAGAATAATTTAGTCCTTGTGTGGAAAGGAGTCCCAGGTTCCACGCAAAGATGTGGAACTAAGAACAGCTCGCTTTCTCCTGCTCCATCTCCCCTCCCCAGGGCTCCTTCCATGACCTGCTCCACAGAGAGCCAATGCTGCGCATGCAGGAGGGAGAGGGGCACTCCCAGCTCTGCCTGGACAGGCTGCAGCTTGAGGCCATCCATAAGGTACTGTCGGCTCTGGGTCTATGGTCGATGGAGTGGGGGGTGAAAAGTTGCGTAGGTGGCCGGGAAGGGGGGTGGCTTTGGCAGCTGCCACCTTCAAAGTGTCCCAGGCATGCTTCATCACTGGGCTTCATTCTTGCCCATCTCACCTCACCATGCTCCCGTCCTTTCAGAGGTGAGTCACCCCAAATCACCACTCGGGCATCCCCCTTTTGTTTTCTGTTCTCTTCACAGGTACGTTTCAGCCCAAACCTGGACTCCTATGGATGGCTGGTATCTGGGGGACAGTCGGGGCTGGTTCGAATCCATTTCGTCCGTGGACTCACCTCCCCACTGGGCCACCGAATGCAGCTTGAAAGCCGAGCCCACTTCAGCGCTATGTTCCAGCCATCCTCCCCTACTAGACGGCCTGGCTTCCCTCCAAGCAGCCATCACCTTCTGCCCAGCCCCTAGTTCTGGTCCACACAGGACCCCTGGAATGAAGTCTGCCAAGAACAAATGGCCCCCATGCACAGAGCCATAGAAACTGGGGCCTTTCTGGACAGTGATGTCACCAGGCCTGGACCGCTAGGCCCGCCTCCAGGACTCCGTAGATCCCTCCTTTCAGACTTCTGTGATGACAGCCCCCTGCGGGCAGGGGGGCTCTCCCTCCACAAACTCAAGGCTGCTCGGCCTAAGACTGTGGCTCGTGAGAAACATGCAGGCCTGACCCAGGCTTGGGAGTCACACTGCTCATATTGAGCATATTGTTGAGCGGGTGAAGCTAAGTAAAGGTACTGGGTGTTTTTGAGACCACACACGAGTGGGTGTTTGGAGAGCTGAAAGAGGTGTTGCCTGCATGAAGGCTCTTGTCTGACTACTCCAGGACCCTGTGGCACCGCCTTCCTAAACTTCTGTAGAGTAACCAATACACGGGCAGGCCCACGAGGTGATAGCAACTTGTGGGACTTCTTTAACGGAAGAACACCACAGACACCCTAACAATGGGACAGTGGCTCAGACCTCACTTGGTCCTGCTTTGGAAATATTCCCAATCGCTGGTCATCTGACCCTACTTGAACACTCCTAGACAGTCATGTTTTTAAAAACCTTCCTTGATATCAAGTCAAAGGGTATCTCTCCATAGATCTTACCCATGGGTGTTAGGAAATTGAGTCATTCTTCCCTGTGGTTGCCCTCTTAAGTATTTAACCATAGCTACCATGTGTTTTCCACCTCTCTAGATTAAATATCTTCAGTTACTTCAACCATTCTTTCACACGTCATGATTTTTGATCCTTCATGATGCTGTCACGGTGACTTATGAAAATGTTGAGCTGGCTAAATTCAGTGTACAGGAGGAACAGTCGTGTTCCATTACATCTCATCTTGTTAGAGTCCTTTTTGTGGGATATGCAGGCTCAGTGACTGCGAAACTACCTAAGCAAGGACAGCCCACAGCAACAAGAAACAGGCAAGCCACAGTCTTGGAGTGCTAGGAATACAGGCTGGGGCTCAGGGGGAAATAGATAAACTGCAGGAAACGGAACTATGGACAGCCAGCTCCTGTTGGAGGGAGTGGAGGTTAGTTCAGTGCTTACCAGGAACAAAACCTGGCACTCTGGACTTGACCAAGCGTGTAGCAAGCTCTCTGGTGTGGGGACTTTATATGTCAGAAAATCTCCTTTAAGGAGAAGGGAGTCAAGTTCAGTCCCATCCTGTACAGATGGAGAAAGACCTGGAAGAAACCCAAGTCCTCCAGCAGCAGAGGGGCCACAGCCCATGTTGGTACAGAGGGCTAAGTGTCCGCCACCCGGTTGTCATCCAGGTCACAGCTGCCCCTTTCCTGCTTTCCATGTAGAAAAGATGGGACCTGGCACCTGAGCTGTTGAGGCTGTAGGTTGGTGCTGGCAGCTCTATCCTGCTGCTGTGCCTCAAGGCTTGACCTTGTTTTTTTCCTAAAGAAATCCTCTTCTTCCCAGCCCAGTACCCCTCCAACCCTCCCTCCCAATATATCCACTTTATACTATTCACTGGCTCCTGCGTGTCTCTTCTTTTTGTCCCTCTTCTCATAATGTTCCTTCGCCAAGTGTCTCTTCCCACTATTTTTTTTTTTAAGTTGGAGTCTCACTCCGTGCCCAGGTTGCAGTGGTACGCTCATGGCCATGGCCACTGCAGCCTCCACCTGCCAGGCTCAGGCCATCTTCTGCCTCATCCTTCCAAGTAGCTGGAACCGCAGGCGCGCACCACCATGCCCAGCTAGTTTTTGATTTGTTGTAGAGACGCGGTCTCCCCATGTTTCCCAGGCTGGTCTCCAATCCGCGGGCTCAGGCAATCCTCGCCTCGGCTTCCCAAAGTGCTGGGGTCACAGGCGTGAGCCACCGTGTCCGGCTCCCCCGCCTTAATCGCAGAGGAAAGGAGCCACCGGGGCTGGAACCAGCCAGCGGACAGCCGGCAGGACCCACCTCCTGGGACGTGTGGGTCC